ATCATTCTTGCACTTGTTGCCACAGTATTTGCGTATACCTTCAACACTCTGTATCTGAAGAACAAGCATGCTCTGATAATCCGTCATGAAATCAGTACTCCTCAGCAGAATCTGATCAGCCTGAAGAAACTGATTTTGGGAGCGCTAGTGATGACACTGCTTATAATAGGACTCATTGTGACCAATTTCCTCATCCCTCCATGTAACAGACAAGTATCCCTGCCCTTGGCTACCCTCTACATCATAGCAAGTGTTCAGCTCATGCTTTCCAAAAATGAGAATGCATGGAACCACTTCAAGCAAGTTCTGAGAATTAAAAGAGATAATCTGGAATTTTCATCTTTAAATTCAAGGCAAATGTTTGGAAGAAGAAACAGGGTTTCTGCAATTGCTTAAAGAGACTGTCAGCAAAATTTCAGTCTCGCTTCCAAGCTAAGATGGCAATGGCCAATTCACAAGGGTACCATTGAAACCTTTATCTAATTAATAATGTGGAATAAATGTTCAGTTTTTTTAAAACTTGAAAAGTGTATTACAAACAGTTATATGCTTTATCTTTTTTCCTGTACAGTAGAAATGTGCAAACCACTTTTGTAAAGAACCCAAAATTGAAAATAATCTGTTTTCAAAGTTGATTTCTAATCAAAGCTTGATCAGACAAAGCTGTTAAGGGTACTAAAGTGAGTCCAGCATTGCCATCTTTACATGGAATTTGAAGGTCACTTGAAATTATGCTTTTAGTCACCTTAAGGACTAAGGTAGAGGTAACTGATCAAAACAGAACATATGTGTAATTGAATAATAGCTTGCCAGGATTCTCTCTATTGTCTCTATTTAATTTTTGGATAAACTTGGACCTGTAAAGGGCTTATAGAACCTTCCATGAAGCTGTTAAGAATGATAAACCATCAAAAGCTTTTGTAAATAAATTAATGGCAAAAAATTTCTTAACCGGCTTAATACTTAATGCAAATATTCCGGATCAATTCTTAACAGTTTCAAGGAATGTCCTGTAAGACTTTTTTTCTGGAAAAATTGGAAATCCTAATGATTTTGTAGTGGTGGGAAACAGTATATTGAGAACATATAAATAAAAGAAACTAAAAGTTGATAAGCCTTCAATAATCTTATTGAAAAAGGATCTTTTGCATTTTCCAGATGATTCTCGACAGAATATAGATGATAGATAAATTCACTATCTTGATAATGTAGAACTTCAACATTCAACAGGGTTCAATGGGATAGAATCACTGTTTAAATAATCTAACGCATGGTAAAGAAAAGGAATAACCATTGCTTGGATTGGAAACCCTATCTTCATGCTTGTTAAATTACTTGTTTGTATTATCTATGTAATCAATTTGAACTTGGTAATATTTTAATTGAAGTAAATTATCTAAAATAAGAAATGAATATTGTAGCTGAAGTTAAAAATTCTTAGGATGGATAAAATTTGATTATAGGGCATATTTTGTGTTACTGTGAATTAATTGTGAATTAACAAAAATCACTAAAAACCACACAAAGGTATGAATTGTATAAGTTATGAACAAAAATATATGTGATGTTCAATTTTTTTATTTAAAAATTTTTGAGAGGGACTACTCAAGTTTAACAAATCTTTTCTTTTTTAACAGAATGTTTTATTTATTTTTAATAAATCCAACTGTTAACGAAGCTGTATTAAGCACTTCTATAAAAAGTTAATTAAAGGATTTTTATTTTAAATTTCAACAAATAGATACATCCTAAAATTGGATTTGGCATAAGAGTTAACAGATTGAAAAAGAGTGAATATTGAGATCAATGCTTTATCTTGATCTTTTGTTTAACTACAGATTTAATAAATAGTTACTTAATATCGTTTTTTCACTGAACAAACAATTTTTTGACGAAATTGGAAAAACAATTTTTTTTACTAAACAAATGATTTTTTAACAAATTTTTTTTAAAAGATTGTTGTATATTGAACATACATTTTTTTAAAAGGTTCAACTACTCACGCAATGGTAGTGCCCAAAATAACGTAAAGGCCGTATAGAACATTTCCCGAAGCTGTAAACTAGAACGATTTGATAAGAGACAATATAATAGTGTTGAAGCGCTTTTACGTAAAAAACCCTCCCAAAATGTGTAAACAATGCCCATGCTTAAGGTGGAACAAATCAGAAGCAATTTGCCTGAAACCGTATAGATAGATATTCATTATCAAATAAGAAGATTAGCAATCAGAGTTTTCTGAAAACAATGTGATTGTTTTATGACGAAAATAATTGATTAAATGTTTTCGTCATATCAGATTTCAGGTTTCAGCCACTTCTTGTATAATTCCATTATTAATATAAGTATCATGCTAGTATGATACAATATCATTAGCTATGCTAATCATTGTGATTTTGCTTCTGTTTGATTTTATTGTTCTAGTTACACCAAGCAAAAACTACTGGAGTGAGGATTATGATTCAGGTCTGTATATTATTATCATTATTATTATTACTATTATATTATTATTATTATTATATTATTATTATTATTATTATTATTATTATATTATTTTTAGCCAAAAATTGTCTTCTTCATTAACAAGTGAAGTGTGTGTTATTTTTCGATTTTTTGGGGGAGAAATCTCAATTTTATTTCTACCAACGATTCGAATATTCAGAATTTCTTAAGTAATCTGAATTCTAGATCTATGCATGGTTTAAAAATGTTTGTCTACAATCTACATGCATTTACGCTTGAAAAACTAAATAATTATAAGTTTATGTATTTGAAACAAAAAAATACTTTTAGGGGTAAGCTTTTGAAAAGTCTGTACAAGATAGGGATTAATGCTCGAATTCATTCAAAATTTCTCATCTCAAATGGGAAACTACTGGAATAAAAATTTGAATTAAGCTTGAGTTAAGCATTCGATAGCAATTCATTCATCAAACTAATCACAACACTATCATCAAAGAGAAACATTTTGTATATTACAATAGCACCATTTACTGCTACTAGTTTTGTGTAGACAGTAGACAGTAGACAGTAGTCAGTAGACAGTAGACAGTAAATAGTAGACAGTAGACAGTAGACAGTAGACAGTAGATAGTAGAAAGTAGACAGTAGACAGTAGACAATAGAAGGTAGACATTAGACAGTAGACAGTAGACAGTAGACAGTAGACAGTAGACAGTAGACAGTAGACAGTAGAACATTCTCATCATTTTCTCGTCCGAACCACATCGAAATCCTCGTCCTTTCAATATTATTTTTTTTAAGTGTCCGATCCTTGAAAATAAATACATTTTTTAAATATATGGCGACGTTAGGGCATAGATGAAATATCAAATTTTCCCAATTAAATTTTAGATTTGTGTAAAAATGAAAATGCTCGATAAACGATGTTCTACAAAAAAGCGTCTGTATCTAGGGCCCTTTCTTTCGCGGAAAATGCCGCAAAACATTCTCAAACTCGATGTAAACAACTTTTTGTAATATTTCAGCTCAAGTTGGGTTAGAGATATGACTTACAATTTTTATATGATTAAATACTGTTTGAATTCATAGGGTTGTGACCAATTAATTGTAGCAAATGATTTGAATAATATAAATTGAACATTATTTTTTCTAGAATTTTAAGCATGCGGCAGGCAATAGTGATCTCTTAGTGGGGACAACAAATCTAACTTATTTGTAAATAAATCAGAAATCAATGATTTTTTTGTATGGGTTGAAATGGAAAGATTAAAGACCATGTCCACGCGAATTCTTTGGTATAAATTTTTATTTGTGAAAGTTATCCATTTTGGAGGCAGAAGAGATTCAATTTTGAACCTAAATAATGTTTGACATCATTCTCTTCTATATAATAAAGCTCTTTGCTCTTTGCTTGCACATATGTTAGCTATGGCTGGCCAAACGGCTGAACCGAATGGGTTGAAAGTTTTTTCAAAAATCGTTTTTCATAAATCAAATTTTTTGTAATCCAATATTTTTTCGAAATTCCACATTTTTTTATCACGGGCAACGCCGGGCATTTAAGCTTATATATATGTATATCATTTTAATAATGTTGTAAACGACTTGTGCAATTGAATACAGTATAATAGCCAGAAATAAGAAAAAGACATTAAGTGTATTTGATGTTATTAGTAAGAAAATAGTTTTAGCATTATAGCTTAAAATTGGTCTGTGTACACTGTTCAATTACTGTGTATATATCCGGTTAATTGAACTATTTAAATCATAACTTTAGTCTAAAATGCGTCCTCCTATTCGACACTGTAAACAAAGATGAAAAACTAAACGGCCGGTGACTAGAGAATAACAAGAAATTAATAAACAAATTAGATCCAATTAACTCAAGATGAAACAAGTGTATATCATGGTATAAAAGTCGTCTTCGAAATTTACCATATCTAAAAATTATGGTACAAAATACCCGAAAATATAATCTTTCTTCTTAATCTTTTGCCACAACTTTTATGTTTTTAATTGCAAATTAAAATTCAAAGGTTGAATTTTATCTATGAAAGCAATCATGACAACATTCTATGCATACCAAAAAGTTTGCCCGACCAAAAAATCGTCATTTGCATCAAATTGAAATCAACATTTATAGGTTGTAATCATATAGTAATAAAACGAAGAGGCAAAGCTTAGCTCAGATGTACACTACCGAGTACCGACCTCCCTATTAATTTATTAATAGAGTGGTCGGTTGTGTACATCACGATATGTTTACGTATCTATCACTGTACACTTGTATTTAGAGTGATCGTATAAGGGGTGGTTTTATGTAGATATTTGAATATTAGTATTGATAATTAGATAGACACTTAATATGGATTTAAATAAAGAAAGAAAATCTAAAAATTTGCCAATTTCATAAAATCCGATCAATACGATCAAAATACGATCACTCTATATACAAGTGTACAGTGTTAGATACGTAAACATATCGTGATGTATACAACCGACCACTCTATTAAATAAATTAATAGGGAGGTCGCTTGTGTACATGGGGAAAGATGTTTTTAACGAATTATTTTATTTTTAGTTTGAAAGATCTTTATTTTTTTAAGGGAAAGTGTGAACGCACAACAGGAGATTTAAGTGATAATGAGGTTAGTCCCAAATCAATTAAAACTTAAGGATGTNTTTTTTTGCCGCCGTAGTCTAGGCATTCTCTGTATGAATCCTTGATAAGCTAAAATGTTTAATAAAAGGAGGGGGTCTTGAAGCCTGACATAAAAATTAAGATATTAACTTATTAATTAATCTGATAATTTTTATACAGGGTGTCCCTAAAACGCTTTTCTAGCACTGATCATGGTTCAATTTTTGAAATTTTTGAACTCTATGGAAAATTTACGGTCGATTGATAATATCAATTAGGAGTACGTAGTACAAAACATTAAAGAAGTAATACAGTTTGAAATTTGACATTTTGGCTTGGTTGACTTTATGGAATTAAATTTGATCGTATTAGGGAATTTTATTAGGGTCTTAAAAAGTGAAAATCATCTATAAACTGCGCAGTTATTCTCGAAGAATGACAAGACCTTAATTTACTATGCTGGTATTGAATTTCCTTTAGTTTTGAGTACCAAACAAGAAAAGGCCACAACAACCTTATTCCTGAGCTGAAAACTTTAGAATAAGATATCTTTAATCCCAATCACTTAATCTGAGTGCTACAATGTCTAAAAGAGCGATTATTTGGGACACCCAATAGTACAGATGGGCACGTTCGGCTTTTTTCATTTCGTTCGTTCATCGTTCGTTAACGACCCATTTGGTTAGTTTTTTTCAATCTTTAAAAAATTATGCGCTCGCTTTCTCACAAACTTCGTTCATTGTCCATCTTTTTTGTTCTTTTCCTCAGTGAACTATAGCTTAATTTAATTGAAATGTTTTGTTATCATTATTAAAATTAGGTGGACAAAATAATCAAAACAGCCAAGAGCTATTGTCCATGCTTTATACTTTTTCTGTTAATATAATCATCAATTTGTAATTTTAAATTAACTCTGTACACAGATACATGTATTTTAGCAATAAACTTTATTTTTTCTTATCTTATCTATAGTTTTTAAAAAGATTGTTCCAAACAATTTTTCGTTCAAGTAAAAATTATTTTTTTTCAAAATCTTTTGAAAAAATTGGTTCGTTCAGTAAAAGAAACAATCGTTTTTACAAGTTCCGTTCAAACGATCTAAAATCTTTCGTTTATTTCGTTCGTTTACAAGAACGATGCCCATCTCTACGGTCTGTAGGTATTTCAAGATTGTAAACTGAAGTTAGCTAGAGCCCTGGGGAGTGAATGCAGCACTACTACAGTAGTTCATGTAGGTGTTTATCATAACTTTGGTTTAAAGGGACTGTAAACGCAATTTCATTTGACCCTTCATTTATAGAATGGAATTTCCGATTCACAAAAGTTCCCTTAAACGAAATGTCAAAAGTAAGAGAGCTGTACAATGTACATGCTTCTCCTTTTGTAATATATTTATTTTCAATTGTGGTTTCAATTTGAAAAAAGGATTTGCGCAATTCTGCTACCAAAAGCAACGGAGGAATCGATAATATTTTCCATATTAGTGATCTGACAATTTTACCAAGCCTTTACGGTTTTTATATCGTAAATTCGATTTTATTGGGCATTTAGGGCGCTTCGCGCCCAGCTTTTATTTTAACTGTGAACATTTTCTCTTTGTATACATTGTTAAACAAAAACAAACAAATTTTTGCGGATATTATATAAAAATTTCTTGGATTTTCAAAATTTAATGCAATCAAATTTTGTTGGAAGCAAAATCTTGATCATCAATAAACTTTCCTTGGGATTATGTGAGGTACCACACAAAATTTGGGCCCGAACGCTACAGCCATTTTTGAAGTTTATTGGATACAAACAGACAAGCAAAGTATGTAAGTATGTAAATAAACAGTTAGTCACTTAAATTTCGAGTACAGTCCCATTAGAACTTGTCTACGAAGAAAAATGACCAGCTTTTAAGCATATTTGTGGTTAAAATAAGATAATTAACTACAATTTGACACAATTTGACACAATTTGACCCATGTTACACTGGTGTACTTCTCCTTTTAAGTTAGCCATGGGTAAAAAATTTTAAATGAAACAATCTTGTCCTTAAACGAAGATTTAGTTCTATTTTAAAATATGCTGTTAAATAGAATACAACTTAGTCACCATCATTGACATTATAGTATTAAATAAATATTCTACAGCTTTTGCACATAACCAGAAATGTAATAATCATCATATTCGATATTTTTCAATGATAAAACTTTTAAAGAATTAGAACATGTTAAAGCATTATTAATAAAAAAGTATGTGACTGAATATAAGAAAAAAGGCGTAGTTTTCTAAAAAAACAAGTTCAATAATATTACATTGCTCTACTCATTAAAGCTAACTAACTAAAAAAGAAGTTCCTTGTGACGGAAAACTTTCAGTCATATTTTAAAATTCGTTAAAAAATAAATATATGCTCTATGTTTAAAATACATACATGACCCTACAAAAAAAATAAAAAAGCCGACACGAAATTTATGAAACCGGGCTGTTAAGTTGGGACTGAACTTTTAACCAGGACCTCTAGTTCAACGTGTACTGTCTAGACCAGGACCTCTAGTTCACCGTGTACTGTCTAGACCAGGACCTCTAGTTCACCATGTACTGTCTAGACCAGGACCTCTAGTTCACCGTGTACTGTCTAGTCTGGAGATCTACTGTACTGCAAAAACCAGAAACTTACTGTTTGTTGTTTTCACAACCACAACTGCTCAAGAAACTGGGATTCTATAAATGATGATTATGTGAAACTAGCAGTAGACTTTCTAACGGATCAGGTAAATAATCATTTGATTGAAGATCGGTGATTCAGGATTTATACAAGTTGGTAGTTGAACGGCAGTTCCGCGACCACCTCTCTCAAATTCATTAAATTTGGTCCAAGCTGATCGTATTCCGACTAAGTGTGAGAGGGGGGGGGGGGCTGCAATTATTAATGCATGTAAACCCTGTCTGCAACATTTCGGGGTATTTTTTCTAAATAATTGCCACCAAAATTGCCATATTTCCATGAAGGGTCACTTGAAATTACGCATTGTTTTTTAGAAGAAATGGCTGGAAAAAGAAAAAACCAAAGGGTATGAATCTTGCCACCCTCTGGGCTCAAGTAAGAAAAATTTAATCATTTTGTTAACCTTGACGTAACACGACAGAATTAACGAATGTTAATTGTAATTTTAAAACTATTAGTATTAATATTTGCAAATGGCAAATAAAAAAGTTACAGTTTAAGTTTGTCAAATATTCTTAAAGAAACTTATGATCGTACTGATTTATTTGTAAATAAGAGGTGTCTCTCTTTAGTTCATTTAATTGTCTAAAATTAGGTCTGGATGCCAGTAAATGTCAGAAAGACTGCCAAAGCCTCGCGAATTCAGAATTTGCACAGAACTGCAAAAAGGACGGTGGATTCTTCAAATGTTGCGTGAGGAACAGATGTATTTAAATTTTCAATTTAAACAAGGATTTCTTTATTCTTAACTTTAAGTATTAAAGAAACTACATTCTCACCTCCATTTAAAATTTATAATTTAATGTCTTTGATATTTCAAACTATTTCTGCCAGATCAAAGTTTCAAATATCAAAGGATTTAGACCATCAGGTGCAAACATACAGAAAATGAAAACAGTTCGAGGAAAGTTATTAATATCTTTTAAAACATTTGATCATGTTTAACATGATATATTTATTGGGAAAGCTAATTTAACTTTTACCTAATTTATTTCCAGAAATTACAAATTTCTTTGAAATTAAAAGTCCTCAAACATTTTTCTCTACATTATGAAAATTAAATTATCAAATGTTTTTTTAAATACCTGTATATTCCCAGACGAGATGGAGCACATTGCCATGAATGCAGGTTTTGCTGCACACTTCTCATGTGTACAATAAAAACAGATGAAAGTAAGTGAACTTCTTTACATACTTTTCATGTGAACAATCAAAACAGAGGAAAGTAAGTAAACTTCTTTACATACTTCTCATGTGTACAATCAAAACAGATGAAAGTAAGTAAACTTCTTTACGTACTTCTCATGTGTACAATTAAAACAGAAGAAAACTTCTTTAAGTACTTATCATGTGTACAATCAAAACAGAGGAAAGTAAGTAAACTTCTTTACATACTTCTCATGTGTACAATCAAAACAGATGAAAGTAAGTAAACTTCTTTACATACTTATCATGTGTACAATCAAAACAGAAGAAAGTAAGTAAACTTCTTTAATTATACATCATGTGTACGATCAAAACAGATGAAAGTAAGTAAACTTCTTTACATACTTCTCATGTGTACAATTTAAACAGATAAAAGTAAGTAAACTTCTTTAAATACTTATCATGTGTACAATCAAAACAGGTGAAAGTAAGTAAACTTCTTTACATACTTCTCATGTGTACAATTAAAGCAGAAGAAAACTTCTTTAAGTACTTATCATGTGTACAATCAAAACAGGTGAAAGTAAGTAAACTTCTCTTATTATACTTATCATGCGTAAACTTTGTTAAATACTTACAATCAAAACAGATGAAAGTAAGTAAACTTCTTTACATACTTATCATGTGTACAATCAAAACAGAAGAAAGTAAGTAAACTTTCTTACATACTTCTCATGTGTACAATCAAAACAGATGAAAGTAAGTAAACTTCTTTACATACTTCTAATGTGTACAATCAAAACAGAAGAAAGTAAGTAAACTTTCTTACATACTTCTCATGTGTACAATCAAAACAGATGAAAGTAAGTAAACTTCTTTACATACTTCTAATGTGTACAATTAAAACAGATGAAAGTAAGTAAACTTGGTTAAATACTTCTCATGTGTACAATCAAAACAGAAGAAAGTAAGTAGACTTTCTTACATACTTCCCATGTGTGCAATCAAAACAGAAGAAACTAAGTAAACTTATTTACACAGTTATCTTGTGTAATTTAAAACAGATTAAACCTGTTGAAATTAAGTAAATTTCTTTTCTAACTTCTCATGTGTTTTAAAACAGATTAAACCTGATGAAAGTAAGTAAATTTTATTTCTAACTTCTCATGTGTAAATTTAAAACAGATTAAACCTGATGAAAGTTAGTAAATTTTATTTCTAACTTCTCATGTGTAAATTTAAAACAGATGCAACAAAGTAACCTTCTTTACTTACTTATCATGTGTACATTCAAAATAGACAAAAATAAGTCCACTTCTGTAAGCACATCTCGTGCACACAATTAAAAGAGATAAAAACAGGTTCTGTAAATAAAGGATTTAAACATGATTTTTAGTTGCGCTACAAAGTATACATAAAGAACGCTACAATGGATTCTATAAACTAATCCTCCTTAATTTATAGAATATATGAAACAAAATAAATTTTAATATTGCAGTATGAACTCTTAAGGGGGTTTCATCCCTGTCTATTGTTGGATTATCTCCAAATCTCCAGCTTAAGTCATTGAGTTAAGTCAATATATGAATAAACAGAACTGATGATGGAAACAGCTTACGTTTCTGCAATAATCTCCGTCTGAAAATTTACTTTTAAATATCTAAAATCAAAGATAATAAAGAGCAAAGATTTTAGAAAGGAAAACATAGATCTCTCCAGTCTTGTTTTGTTTAAAAAACAACATATTTCGAACAGCTTTTATTAAAATATTATTTTAGAGTTGAAGACAATATTTTCTACGTATGAAAAAGCTGGAAATAATGCTTCTGTTATTATCACAAATACAACAGGAATACAGAATGCCAAGGAGGTTTTCTACCTCACTAATCATCAATATAAATCCCCTGACTATAGGTGCAACAACAATATGGAGTATAGACTCAAAATAAAAAAATATATAAATACTAAATTTCTACTTGAATTTGTTGAATTTTTTAATTAAGGATTACCCCTTTAAGATGAGCCTAAAATTCAGATAAAACCAATTTTATTTGGCTTGACATTTTCTATATGTGCAGTTGATCTATTGCTCACATAACTACCTTTGTGGGCAATATTCTACTAAACTTCATGCCTTTTTAGTCAACCCCATAATTTGATTTATACTTTTAATCTAGCCTTAGCCTATCATAGGCAGTAACCACAGTGCTGGTGAGCTACAGTGAAACCCTTAATAACAAATACATCGAAAGAATTCATCAAATGTCGTATTCTTCACTTTCTGATAATGGAATGTTGCAGATATTTAATTTTTTAATTAAATGATTATATGGAACTCTTTAAAACTGTTCCCGCATATTCATGTCTATTTATTTATTTTCGCAAATACTGAAATTTGCGTAATATAGTATAAAACTCATTGAAAAATTGTCAAGACAACATTTGATAAATTCGTCCGATGTATTCATTATTAAGGGTTTCACTGTAGCAAAAGTTTATGCGTTGATAAACTCCTTATTTTATCCTTTTCTAAACATATAACAATTCAAGGGATATCATTTCAACGTCAATAACCTAATTATACTAATAGATAGCCACGTTTATTAAGATGAGAATATTTTCAACAAATTAATGTTGCATGATTTCTCTGAAAGGTGCCTGAATACTGAAAGCCACAGCGATCCAACAGAGTGGGGAAGCTATAATCCCCATCAGCTGGCAGATGCAGCAAATGAGGAATAGTTATGAATGTTGCAAATTTATATGAATTAAAAAGTCTCAATGTATAGGCGCCAAAATGTAAGTTATGGGAATTTTTCAGATTATTGTGATTTACTGAAAGCATACATGCATGGTGAGTGGTGACCACAGATTAGTTATCAAAGAATTTTAAAATAAAAATGACAAAACAACAAAAATTTCTAAATATATTTTGATCTGTAAAAAAATCAGAGGATAAAAGTTTTACTCATTACTTACATTAATTCCTAATAGATTTAATGGTTAATTCTAAATAGCTAAATAGCAAATATATCATATCTGAATAAGAATATTAAACAAATGTAGAATTGTGAAATCTACTAATATTAATGTAAAANAATAAGTGTCATACTAATTGATTGGTAATTGAAATTATGTGACCTATATAGAAAATAAGGAATTTATCAAAACTGAATAAATTATAGATATTCATAAGATTAATTCATTAAATATTTTTTTATGCAACATTAACTCTATTTTGTTAAGGAAGAACTGAAAAAGGTAAAAAGCTTACTACACAAAATTTTAAGTTTTTGGTACTTGATACGGTCTATGTAAAAAACAAACAGCTTAGATTGTGCATAGTGCAGAAAGGAACTTAGTTTTTGACTCAAACTCAAATGTTCTTATCCTTTATCTTGGCAATCCAATGTCATAAACCTTAGATATTTCAAACTATTAATTCTGTTAGAGCAAATAATCTAAGTTTGAAATTTCAAAGGTTTACACCAACAGGTTGCATAGATATAAAATGAGAAAATTTGAATTTGCAGCAAATACTCAGTTCCTTTTAGAACACAGACATGAAACAAAAATGTTTATGAAAAGCTTTTTCTAGGTTTTAACAATTCCGTTTGACAAGAGATTTCTAAATTTTGAAGACCCAAAAATTCTGAAATTGATGATTGGAAAGAACCTGGAGAAACACTGGAAAGAGACATATGGATTCGATTTTGCAGCAGTTGCAGGGGACAATAGTGGGGTATGTAAGGGGACAACAGTGGGGTATGTAAGGGGACAACAGTGGGGTATGTAAGGGGACATTAGTGGGGTATGTAAGATTTGATTGAAAGTCCAAAATGAAATTTTGATCTTCACAGTTTCATACTAAGGTGTAATAGTAAAATGTATTAATGTATACATTTATTATATTTATGTATTAATTTATTAATTAATTGATTAATTTATTACATTTATGTATTAATTTTGATGAATGTGCACATTCAATAAAATTGTCAAGTTCACTGTTATATATAATATATAAAAAGCTTTACTGTTATATAAATAGATAAATAAAGTTTAACTAAAAAATACCAATTTGAATCTAGATCGTTTTCAGTCGATGTTAGACTGTTATAAAGCAGAGTCTGGAAAATATGCTAAAAGTTGTAAGAAGAAGGGTGGCCTATTCAAGTGCTGTGCTAACACGTAAGTTTGAATTGATATGTAGGGGGAGTTAATGAATTTACAGAAAAAGTTTTTTTTTTAAGTTTTTGATGACTTATCTTTAGTGATATTAATGTATGCAAAAAGCAGAGATTTAGTTCTGTTAGTGTTAAGTTAAAATTTGTCTTTAAAAAAAACACCCTGCAAACATAACTCTGGCATGCTGATGTTAAATATCAAAAGTCCAGAATTATTTACTCGGCATCTTCGCCATTAGAACTATAAGTCGATTTATATGTTTGCTTTCATATTATTCCAAGTAATAATACTGAAACAGTGCAAAAGAAACTTTTTCTTTTTCTGTAATTATAACATTCTTTTGAAGTCAAGAACTGTTTGATTGTTAATTCTACAAAAATGAGAAGAAATAAAAATATGAAAATGTCACATTTTCTTATTTCACAAGCTGGTAATACATTTTGGGTAATCTTATGAAGAACAAAATTCGATTTAGTCTTATTTATGTAAACTCTGGTTTTGGTTGTCCTCTATACTAAGTCTCATCCTTTCTGAGATTTACTTGAACATTTTCTTGTTTTAGATGGGACCTAGATGTGTTCACTGAAGCAAGGCAAATTCTAAAAGAAAAGAAGTTAATCAGGTGAGTTATAAAAATCCAGCGATCTTGTAGGCTACTGCATAGCAAGCCGAGGCGTTTATTTGAATGAAAGTATTTTCCATTATTAACCGGAAGGATTGTACTTTCAAATAAAAAAGTAAATTTGAGAAAATATTCAGTAGTTTTTTTATAGCATTTAAAAAAAAAGTTATTTTTCGGACCCTTTATAAACAGTATTTGGTGTTTTTAAACAAATAAACATTTTTGGCTATTTAGAAATCCTATAGTTAAGCTCGATTTAACTTCAATATTTCTTTTGATTTAATCAACTAGAGAAAGCGAATGCAAGGAGAAGGTTCTGAAAACCTTTACACACAGGATAGTTTAGACCCTCCCTTGATGTTCCCTTTTATCCATATTCATTTAATCCCAATCTAATAATTTTAAATAATTTTAAATCATGCCCTATTTCTTTTATATGTTCTTTAATAATCATTCACCTTAGCTCTTGCAGTTTCTTGTTCATAAACCCTGCTTGTTTCTGCTTACAAGCACCTCTGACACATCAGTAAAAGTAAATTCAATCAAAAGTCTGACCGCGTCAACTTTGTTGCACCGGCTAGTCCTATTGAGTGTCTGCTTTATTTACCAAATGTCCGGGCAATACAGTACAAACTGGGACAGGAAAGGTTGACCCGGCTCGGAAATTTAAATGTACTACAGCTGCCCATGCTTAGAACTTCACTACTTCTACTAGTTCATTCCGGACTTTTTCAAGCTTATTTCTAGTTATTTCAACTCCTGAATTTTCAGAAAATACACTAGATTTTTAATTTATTTATTTTTTAACATTTTTTTCTATTTTTTATCTTTAATTTTAACAATATTATATAAATAATTAGATGATAGCAGATGCAAATAATCTAACATTTCTATATTTCTTGTTCTCCTTTTTCTTCTTGTTCATACATTTTTCATCATGTTTCAGCTAATTTTGAAAAAAAGTAATTTTTTGGGACATCCTAGCAGTTGCCAGGCTGCTAGCTCAAAACTAGGTGGAGAAGGTCCTGATATCCTACTTTTCTGAACTTTGCTTTGTTTACACATGTTAATGTATGGTTTGGTGTGTTCTTTTTAGCAAACTCAGTACTGATTCAGTTAATAGCTCTATTGCTTTAACCAGGAATGCTGACACAGTTGATTAGGCTGCTTTCAGTATTATATTTCCTGACTGGGGCATTTTCTAGTTTTGGGGCCTCTCCAAGTAGTTCTTGTGACATTAGTTGTAGAGCAGAAAGGAAAGATATAAGGAAGTTTGGAGGAGGAAGAGTATTAGGGGTTTCAGTAGAAGATCCCTACTTTCCTTCGTTTTAAAGTGTTACTAATGCAGAATTAAGGTGACCCATAACTGCACCCTTTAGGCAAAATGGAGAGTTTAAGTCTGAAAGCCCCATCAGGTGGAACCATCCACAGTAGTCCAGTCCTCACAGTCGACCGAGTAACAAACCAGTATTATTGTGCATGGCTTGTATACCTATCAAGGATTATATTTCCGTATTCCTTCTTTCAACTAAGATGTTGAGCCAGAGAAAAGTTGAAGATGGAGTTCTTGTATCTTAGCGAGAGAGAGTGAACTCACACTCTTTCACTGTTTAAATCCTTCGTTTCACTACTCCCGGCCCCTTAGGATGAGTCATGAGCAATTCTAAGTTTCTAACTGTGCTCTTTTAACTGGGAAGTTGAGAGCTAGTTTAGGCTGGTCCGTTCCCTGCCGGTAGTAGAAAGCAACTGTTGAATTTATTTTATTTATTTTAATACTTGATGTGATCTGATTAGTATCCAATTTTATTTCCAATTCTATCCAAATTGTGTCCAAATTAAAGAAACATACTTTAACTTTCACCTGATTTTTTCCAAAACTGTTCTTATATCTAGTTCTGATGCAAAGAATCTGTGTCAAGACCCAGAAAAATGCAGAATTAACACAAATGCTCACTTGTGCTCCATAAACGTAGGTGTTTAACTCAAAAGAGATTGTTTGAATTTACACATGATATCCTAATATCCCTGATTGCCCTGATGGTCAGAATAATCAAGAATCTCTGTCAAACGAGTGTTTTTGCAAGAAAACACATTACATAAAAAATTTGTAGATTTTATTTTTATTTTCCACATACCCGGGTAGAATCTTAGAGTCTGAAACCTAGTCTTAGACGCCGGGCCGACCTCCTCAGACCCTCTG